TTCTACTGAATATTTGTAAATATTTGTAAACCGTGTCAAAAATTTTACTGTTAAAACATTTATATTACTATATTTAGGTAATGTGTATATGCGTGTGTTACGGTGTGTAATGGAGACTACATACTAACCGTAACTGGGCTTCATTTCATTAATAATGATAATGATAATGGATTGAATGATGATTATTTTTGTTATAATGTCAAATTATCATATCGTTTTAAAAATAAATAGTACGTACTTATATGTCTAGATATCAAGGAGGATTGACATGTAACTCGTGTAATGGGTTGTTTGAAAAAAAAAATACAATTACTGACTAATCACGTCACATATTGGAATCCTTAATTTTTTGTATATTCAAATTCGAACTGTTTGTCAATAATCTTGTCTTTTAATCTGAACCAAAGAAACCGTTGAATAATGAGATACGACATATATGATAAAAGTATTACTAAAGTCATCAGTAGAGATTTATATAATGTCAATCCAACCTGAATGCCTTTACTAATACCTCATATATGTTTTCTCTTCTGACAGATAATAGTACATTAAACCTTTCTCTTTGCTGTGCCTGTATCACGAAAAATTAGCTCTTATTGCGAATTTGTCCTTTTCCATTTGAGAGAAACGATTGTGTGAGAGGAGAAAGGAAAGTGAGTTATATGGAGGAAAGAAATTTATTAGAGGGAAAAAGTGTAGAAGAAAAAATGTTATGGAATGGAGGAATGGATTGAATACTGATTCATGTGAGCAAGGAAAGAAAACTTGAGAGAGGGGTGTTAACTTACGTTAGCGTGCAAAAAGATCATGTTAATTTATGTGAGAATCCCTTGCTTAGAAGCATTTTTAAGGGGAAAAAAATCAAATATCACTTGAAACTGCTGTTTAGATAGTTACATCAACTGTCATAAAATCGAAATATGTTAATAGTGATAATACTAGTAATAGTAACTGATAATTATGATTATGTGATGATAAAGGTGGTAATGACAATTGTGTAATGATAATGATTACGTTATGATAATCATAATAATATAACGATAATGGCAGCAATGATAAAGATTGTGATACTATCAAGAGAAGAAATCCACTCTCACTGGGTCCTATGCTATTGTTATTATAATGCTTTCCCTTTCCTCGCACTGTATTGATTTATATTTAAAGTTGCTATTATGTTTATTTTTATGTGAATTTTACCATTTCATTGTCACGTGTTTATTATCTTGGGTAATTTTCTATATTACGTCCGCATAACCGATGTCGACGATTTTGGTATCGTTGGATTCCTCTCACTCTGTACAATGCAAATATGTAGGTTTTATTGCACGGAAACCCCCCGTTAGCGACAAACTTGGCCCCGATTGCGGGGGCGACGATGTCGGAGCGGCGGACGCAATATATAAAATTACCCTAATAATATAACCTCACAGTGAAAATAATCATGGTTATTCACATGACTTTCCATTGCAGGGGGCTGCGCCCCCTGCGACTTATTCACTGTATGTCTGAGTCGCCATAAACGTGACGTCACGACCTGCCGCTGACATTCGCCTTGGAAAATGTTTATTCGCTGACTTCATGCGCTCTGCAATATTTTAGCACACATTATTTCCTTTATGGACGGGTTTACTAGAAGCCGGTGAAAGGTGGGAAGGCTAAGTATTGAGCTATCGTAAATGCATTTTTACGTAAGAACTGGATCGTGAATATCACACACACACACACACACACACACACACACACACACACACACACACACACACACACACACACACATATATTGTATATATATATATATATATATATATATTATATTATTATTTATTTATTTATTTATTTAAAAATGCATGTATAACCGTATGTTATAATCAGCCTTGCGTTTTTTTCCTTTTTTTTAATTACTGATGTTTTTTCTATTCTTCCATCCTCTTTTGCAGTTTCTACCATTTTACACTTGCACATCATCTTTCACCAGTCTTTATATTTTATCCTATCCTGTTTAATTGAATGTCTATAAAGACTGTATTAATTTTTTCCGTGTTTTGAATTGATGTTTTATATAAAACCACAAAGTCACACCTTTTAGTCGGATTTCACTGGTTTTGGCTACAAGTGCTACGTTCTCAATTATTGTATTTGATTGTTATGTTTTATTGTTTATATGTGATTTTACGGTCAGAGAAGATTAATCTGTATCCATCCATCCATCTATTTGTCCATCCATTCATCTATTCACCCATCTATTCAACTATCTATTCATCTATCTAGCGAGAGTGTTGGCGAGGAACTAACTTTAAAAGGCAGTATTAGTCAATTAGTGATGATATAGTGATATAGTGGAAAAGACGGAGGGAGGCTTTGATGTCATGTGCCTTGGCTGCTGAGACGGTGGGGGGGGGGGGGGATGAGGAAAGAAGTAAAAGACAAATAAGATGAAATAGATATGAAAATGTGAAAATGAAAGAAAGTAAATAAAGATGAAAATGAATGAGACTGGGTAGCTATTTTCAAAACACTCGGTTTCTATTCACAGTAATGCCGCTGATTCTGCGCTGTACTTAAAACTGGGCTTTACTAGCATAATCCTGCGATCTGTTTGCCAACTACTCTAGTTTTGTTTTATTATCGTTCTTGTTGTCTTTTAAGGGCGAAGAATTTCATTCCAGCTGCCGTTACCCGATGTTACTATTTGCCTTCATTAACAGACGAAATTCTGCGAAACGGAAATACTGATTCAGTTTCATATTAAAAAAAAAAAAAAGAAACAGAAAAGAATTAAAAAAAGAAACAGGAAAGAATAAAAAACAGAAGAATAAAAAAGAAAATAAAAAAGAAACAAAAGAATAAAAAAGAAACAGAAAAGAACAAAAAAGAAACAGAAAATAGTAAAAAAGAAAGACAGCGTAACTGCTCGTGCAGGCGAGTCCTCAGGCGTGGTTATAAATAGTGGGTTTCGGGCCCTGAGGGATCAGCAGGCCGTACGGATGCCCACTGACCTTAATGGGGCATCCCCGTTGGCTGTTACGGCTGGGTAGGCGGGGCTCCCTGGGGACTATAGACAGCTATCCAATACGCAGTGGTAATGGTGATGCTGAAATGATGATGAAATTGATAACAAAACTGATAATGGTGATGATAGTAATGGTAGCGATGATAATGACAATACTAATGATTACAATAATTATTTGATAATGAACATCGAACTAATGCCGACAGTTATGATGGCAATTAAGGCAATAGCAGTGATACTGATAATACAATTAATTATAATCATGATGATAATGATACTGATAAAATAATGGAAGGAAAATAATGATGACACCCTTAGTGATAATGATTTCTATAATGATAACAAAATGATAATGACAATGCTACCACCATTAATGATAATAGTAATAATAATTATGATAATGATAACGCTACTTTTAGAACCTCTAATAATGAAAATAACTATACATGGCAATACTCGCTACTGTCATTATAATTATAATGCTAACAATGGTAATGATATTAAATATTCTGTTAATAACACCAGTAATGTTGATGGCAAATGGAAGTGTAATGATGCTACTTATACTGATAATTACGTTAACAGCAATCATGACAATAATAATAATAATGTGATAATAGTGAAAGTTATAATGAAATGATAATGACCGTAATTACAATATCATTAAAGATCATGATAACATAACAATGATAATGATGGTTATAGTAATGATAAAAATGATGGTTATGATCATGATAATGGCAATCATAAAAATGACGATAAGAATAATGGCACTCCTATTACTTCTGCTAATATATCGATGCTAATGATGATATAACAAATAGGTCCAACAATAACGTTTGTGATGATATTGATATCAGTCATACTAACAATGTGCATACACATGGAATAACCACAATGATCGCAACCATTATGAAAATAATATTAATGATTATAATGATGATCGTGATAAAAATGATAATCATAATAATAAACAATAATGATAATGGTAATGATGGTATAATGGTAATGAGACGACTGTTTTAATGATAACGGTGATAAAGCAGAAAAGTAATAATAGTAATTATTGTGATAATGATTATGAGAATAATGATGATTGTTATGATTATTACCATGAAAAATACAACTACCTTCACTTCTACTAATAGTAATGATAATAAAGATAATAACTAAACATCAACTATAATAATGGCAATGATAACAATAATGAGAACAATAAGCATTATTATCATAATAATGTAAATATGGTAACTAATGATAACAGTAATAATGAGTATTCTCTAGTAAGCAGTAACAATAATCAAAGATTATAATAACAAGTATAGTTACTACCAAGTGCACAATGGTAATGAATAAAATTATGATAACCATAACCATCATAACAAGAAATGGGAGAATGGTAGTTCAAAGGTTAACACCAGTGATAACAAAGAACAAGGTAAATGACCTATGCCGCATTGTTTATGGGGGGTATAGTAGTCGTAGGGTTTGCAGTATGGGTAGGGGTGGGCATTTGTATGGGTTGGTATATGGGTATGGGTAGGGTAGGTACGCGGGTGTGGGGTATGGGTAGGTAAGCGGGTATGGGTAGGTACGCGGGTAGGTGTATGGGCATGGGAGTGGGGTAGGGTAGAGGTAAGGGGTTTTTAAGCATCGTAGTAAACGGCCAACTCGCTCTTGAGAATTTAACCTAGCACGTTACCGGCTTGCCCAACGTTTCAACCTACTGCATTTTCTCTCTCTATTTATTCATCTTTCCCTCTCCCACTCCAACCGTCCTCCATTCGCATTCGACGAAAATCCTCCTCTTTTTTAATATTTGTTTTCTTTCCCTTTCATTCTCAATGCAATAATAAAGAAAAGCTCTCTTTTTCCCTATTGAAGTTTGACTTTGGGAGCGCTTTGTGGCCGGGTCGTCCGCCAAAATAAAGGGTAGTTGGCACCTCGGCCGTTCTCATACCCAAGATCTCGGAGTCGCTGTGATGGAGGCTTCGGCGGGTAGTGCACTTGTTGCTGTGGCTGTGTCATGTGGCGGCGGACAGCGATCGTGCCCGTCTAGCTCTATACCCAGTTTCAGAATCATATGCCCATTTATCCGTTCCCTCCCTTTGAAACTCTAGCCTCCCTTCTGGAGAATAAGGAACATTCAATGCGTGTTTTTTGAGTGATGTGTAGAAAGGTTTTGAGGTGTTGAACGCTCGATCGCTAGGAGTATGTCAGCTCTCATGCACACTCGGGAAAAAGGCTGATGTTTTGATCTCAGTGCAAGAGGGAAGCTGCATCGTAGGATTCTCGGCAGGTAAGCTACGCGCCAGTTGAGAAAGAATGCACCAGCAGAGTTTTGATTTTTTTTTCTTCGTTACATCGCGCGCTATTCTGCTAACTTCTCTTGTGGTATTTAATAAAAGGAAAATGAATTTTCCTTCCCTTCTAAGGAAAGATAAACAAAACGAAAATAAGAAAAAGACCAAAACAAGACCCCAAAAAGAGACATCCAAAGATACCTTCAAATGTACGAACACATTTTTTTTCCATCTTTCCCGTACCCAGAATTTGCACACTTCTCGGCCCTTGAGGAGAGGTGCATTCCACGGCCGAACGGAGACTGGCTTTCCTGCTGTCACGCTGACCTCTGGTCCCTCGGAGCTGACTGACGCTGGCGGTGATTTTCGCGCTGGGTTTTGTTCCATAATGTACTGTTAGGGAGTGGATTTGGAAGCGGCGGGGCTCGCATGCGGAGTTGTGGATGGGTGTGGATTTTTTAAAATAGAAGGTTGCGTGAAGTGTGTGGATCTTCTCTCTTTTTTCGTTTTGTAAGTAGAGGGTTTTATGAAGTGTGTGGATTTTCTTTTCTTTGATTTTTGTAAGTGGAGGGCTTTATGAAGTCACATTTTTGTAAGTGGAGGGCTGTAGTAAATGAATTTTATTGAAAGTGGTGGGGTAAGTGGATTTTTTGTAAGTAGATGAATTATTAGAAGTGGTAGGCTTCGTAGATGGATTCACGAATGGATGGATTATCAGAAGTGGAGAAGGCCATAAATGGACATTCGTAAATGGATGAATTACCAGAAGTCAAGTGGTTCGTATTTGGATATTTGTAAGTGGTTAGATTTTTCCAGAAGTTCAGGTGTTTGTAAATAGATTCATTGCTTAGATCTGTGTAAGTGAATGAATCATAAATGGATCTACAGGCGGATAGAGTTGTGATGGATTTGATATTTTATCATATTATCTACGAATGGATTTATGACTACATTTATAGAAGGATAAATTCATAAATACAATAAATCCATAAATACAATACATGGATTATACAAACGAACAGATCTATATAAACATTTCCAAACATCTTTTCACTGCTGCCACCCCTACCCTCCCGAACCAACCCAAACAAACAAACAAAGCAAGTGTTTGTTTCGCCCAAACCCGTTGATCCAATGCATACGTCATGTTACGTCATGCGCGGCGTCCACTCTCATCCTCGCCTCTTGAACGCAAGTGACAAGTCCACTTTCAGGTTTCTTTGAGCGCTGCGAGAGGCGGGCTTCGCTGCGTTCACCTGTCTGCGTTGTGGGATCTGTGTGCTGCGTTGATATTGTTGATGTTATCACTGTTGTTAGTACTATTGTTATTGTTATTATTATTATTGTTGTTGTTACTATGTGTTGTTATTATTGTTATATTTATTGTTATTGAGATTATTATCGTTATCATTGTTATTATAATCATAGTTATTATTATTATTTTTATCATTATCATTATCGTTATCATTGTTATTATGATTATTGTTATTATTGTTATTTTTATCATTATTATCATTATTGTTATCATTGTTATTATAAGTATTGTTATTGTTATTTTTATCATCATTATCATTATTGTTATCATTGTTATTATATTGTTATTAGTACTGTTATTAGTTTTGTTATGATTATTGTTATTATATTATTACGTCATTATCAGTAATAGTAGTGCCATAATTTTTTACCATCACTTCTGTATTACCATAATTAGTATCATCAGCTTCATCACCATAAACTATCCTCTTTAGAATATGAAAAATAAAAAGGTTAGGAGGTTGATGCACAGTGTACATACGTACACGTGTATTTACACCCATGCATATACATAGATCCATAGAGATAAACTCTCACGCCATGCACACACACACACATACACACACACACACACACACACACACACACACACACACACACACACACACACACACACACCACACACACACACACACACATACGAACACGCATAAACACACACGCACACACACGAAGGGAAGGGCAAGAAAACCACGAATATGCATTTCGTGAAAACACGCGAATATGCCATATGGCATATTCGTGTGTTTCTTGCCCTTCCCTTCGTTGTTCCTGTAGCAATCTGTTCACCATGAGTTCCACACGCATACCCACACAAACACACACACAAACACAAACACACAACACATGCACACACACACACACACACACCACATACAGCGCACACACACACACACACACCACACACACAAACACACACACACACACACACGCACACACACATACACACATATCACACACATACACACACACCACACATACACACATACACCGACACATACACACACCACACACACACACAGACACACACACACAACACACACAACACACACAACCCAACACACACAAATCACGAACATGCACACACACACACACACACACACACACACAACACACACCACAACACACAAAACACACACACACTACACATACACACCGCACACACGCACAAACATAACACACACACACACACATACCCGAACACGAACACATACACACACACGCACACACACACGCGCGCCTCGTGTGTGTGTGTGTGTGTGTGTATGTAAATATATATCTACAAAACATATGTATGATTATCTTTTGTATGTATCTTCTGTTCACCTCAGGACAAGGTTTTTTTTTGTGTGATTTCAACGTTGAATTCCAGCGATTTGTTCGTCTCTTCTCTTCACCTTCCAAATAATGTTCCGCTCTTGGTGTTCAATTTGAATATTCTAATTCAGGGTTTTTCAACATTTTCATGTTAAATACCATCGGGGTTATAAGAACTTCTACCGGAACACTTATGCGCATAGTGTGGTAATGCATGAAATCAAAATAAAGTGGTATTGCAATGTATATTATCTAATAGTTTAAATGCTAATGATCTTGTTAAGCGAGAAACGTATTCATGTTGACAAACGTAGAAAAGGTATGAATGAGAATGATTATCTTTATAATACAAGAGACCCTGTTAAGCATGAAAAATTTAAAACAACTTACTACACATACTAAAGTGAAATTGATTATTACCAATATTGAACTTTGGTGTGATTTCTGTCACTGTTCGGTGCAAAAAAGTAGTGTAAGGGCCACTAGAGGGTCGTACTCCACATTAAGTCGTACTCAGCACTTAAGTTTTCATTTTAAGTAGCGTTGAAAATCCTTATTCACGAAGATATGAAGTAAGTGTTATTAGTAAAGAGTTGTTGAGGTACATCAGGTGATATTTTAGTTTATTTATTGTTGAATTCGGGTTAATTGTATTGTGTTTGGTTCGCTTTTGGAGGGATCTGTGTCCCGGCTTGGTGCTCCAGCGTTTTGGCACCAATGTTGCTGTTTAGACGTGAACAGACATGACACGTCTCGCACATCTCCGTCGCACACGCACTCACTTTCTCTCCCTTTGAAGATTTGAAACTTTTGAATACTTCACACACGCACGCGCACACACACACACGCACACACACACACACACACACACACAAACACAAACACAAACACAAACACACACACGCAAAGGCACGCCCCCCCCCCCCAACGAACTCGAGTAAATGAGCCTCTTAACTCGTGTCTTCCATTATCCATTAATTTTCCTTTGTTCTTTTAGTAGAATGGATGCAATAGAAGTTAACACAGGAAAGAGATTTCACTGCAGCGTAAGAAGTGATCCACACAGTCTCCTCCATTGTTATTTTTCAATTTTTATCGATATTTATACATTTTTATGAATGGAATTGAACTCTATTCTTATTATTTTTACTGTCTTTATGAACTCTTTATCATCGGCATATTTGAGGCTTGTGGAATTCTTATTCTCATGATTATTTTTTCTCAAGACAAAAAATGAAAACGAAAGCTAACCAAATAATCCAAAATAGAATGAATATAAGAAATGAAAGAGAGAAAAAAATAAAGAGAGAAAGAAAACGAAATATATAAGGTAGATACACAAAAAAAAAGAAAAAAGAGAGAAAGAAAAACGGAATATATAAGGTAGATACACAAAAAAAGAGAAAAGAAGTGAGGAAGTTATAAAACTACACATCAATCAGTGAAAGGCAGTTTAATGTTACTCATTTGCTTAACTCTATTGGGTAAAGAAACGTTCCGTTTCCTGTATTTATATGCCCACGTGGAGGGGGTAGGGAGTAGGGGCATGGGTAGAGGCATAGGAAGAGAAGGGGGTAGGGAGTAAGGGCATGTGTGTAGAGGAGGGGGGAGTTAGGGCATGGGTAGAGTAGGGTAGGGGCATATGTAAGGATAGGGGATGTAGAGGAGGGGGGTAGGGGCATAGAGTATCAGAGGGGGAACAGGGGGAGGGGGGAGGGATGGAACGTTGGGGGCAAAGGGGAGGGGAGAAATAGAATGTGATGTAAGGGATAGTTATTTATTTGGAAACAGGGACTTATGGAAAGGGGAAGGTGGTAGGGGGGAAACAAGGGCACGTGGAAGGGTTAAGGGTTGGGGGGAGGGGCAGCAGGGAAGAAGGCAGGGAGTGAGAGTGAGGGCGTAACACTCAGGCGGAAGGAGATGGTGTGTACGTGGAGCCTTGGGTGTGGAAATGTGTTGGTTTTATGACGTGGGTTATTGTTTCTTTGGGGAGGTGGTTAAAGAGAGGAAAGAGGGGGAGGGGAGGAGAGGGAATGAATGAGGGTGATGGAAAGGGGGAAGGGAGTGAGAAACGGAGTGTCTGTGAGAGAGAGAGGGAACAGGGGAGGAAAGAGAGAATAAGGAGGAGTAAGAGAGGGAGAGGGATTAAGAAACGGCGAGGAATTGAAAGAGGGAGGAGGAGTGAAAGAGAGAGAGCGAAAAGAAGGGAAAGAGGGAAATGGACTGAGAATGAGAGGGATTGAGAGTGGAAGTGAGAGTGAGAGAAAATGAGAGGGAGAAGACAAGGGAGTGAGAGAGGGAGATGAAGTGAGACAGGGAGTGAGTGATGAAAGGATAGAGAAGGAGGAAAGAAGGCAGATTAGTG